GGAATCTGAGTTTTCCCATGGTAGAGTGAATTGGAATAGAAGCACAGAAACACAAGGCAAGCAACAGAAATAATTCTCACCTTCTGTTTGTGCTGAGCAGATAGAGCAATGTTGTATGTCTGATCTAACACTGAAAATTTGTTGCTGTGCTCCTTCTGCTTAGTTTGCTTTATGCCTTTATCAAGCTGAAAGCCTTTTGAAGTCTGTGGGTCATTTTCTTTTCTTCATATTATATGTTGTTTCTAAATGAATTAGCTTCTAAGCTAATCTGTCACAGATTTAATTATAGCACACAATCACAAGGGACTTGCTTTTTCCTGATACCGAGCAAGGAAGTTTATTGAATAAGGAAAACAGTTGTGTACTTGATTCTAATTTGATCTTCCAGTTTCTCTGTTTCATTGTGGAGCTACTGCAGTCTTACCTTTTCCTTTAATCTTTTAGTAAGTAATCTGGATAAAAAGAGTGGTTGTGCAACACCCTGAAAGTGGCAGAAGTTGTTTCCTGCGCTTCACAGAAGAGGAATTATATTCAAGTGTCTTGGATTCCTCCTCCATAATAGACCACCACCTTAAGTCAAGGAGAGAGTCTTGTTATAATTTTTTAACCTCATCTTCTGTACTATTTTCTTCCTGAAGTCTTCTCACTTGGACATGAGCCTCTTGATATTAATACTCCTGCTCTGCTCACAGACATATTGTTGAGAGAGGTTCATCTGTGTCCAAGAGCACTTTCTTGCTGTTATTTTTCCTAACCCCTATTTTCTTTCCTTGATTCCAAGGCTGTTTTGTTATATTTTCTGTGATAAAAGGTTTGGAATTACTCCTTCCCTCACTTTGCTAACAATATACCAAAAACTACACTTCTTCCCTCTGTAGCTTGCTCTATAACATCCTTTATGTAGGGATGATTTTGGGTACCAGTAAATATTGTGGCATTCTCTTTGCATTAGACTCAGGGTTTGCCAGACCTTTGTACAGGTGTTATGTAGATAATATTCTATGTGAGCGTTAGGAATAGGTGAGAGATGCATCCTGTGGAAGGTACTTTCTTTAGTTATATAGGCAAATAAGTGTTTTCTCTGTAAACATGGTCCCTTCTCGAACCCTAAACTATTTGTTGAATTGTGTTACTGATCTCTGAGATGATCAGCTACTTCTGATTATCCTGTTGGGAGAGGTGCTCAAGAGTTTAAAGCCAGGAATCAGTACTAGCTTTGCTTCTGGTAAACATGATGTCAGTTTATGTACCTGAATGTCCAGATGCAGGATTCCCAAGGGCAATAGATATTCCTTCTTCCTCTTCCTTTCTCTCATTCTTGCTCTGGTTTTTTCCATCTTAAAAAAACAAAGTACTGTAAGTGGTCTGTGCCACAGAAATATGTTTGTCACACTACATCACTTTGAACTGCATAACTTCAAAGAAAATCAGTGCTTTGATAACTTGATTTGAAAGGGTTGTAGAAATAGCCATCATTATGAATCACAGCAGATAGGAATGGAAAAGATGGTGATTTTCAAATAGCAAAGCTTGTAAGGTAGGGGAAAATGTAAGATGGGTGCCAGTGCCACATTCTCATCTAAAAAAAACCCAACTGTACAACTGTATGTAGCTTTGCAGAATAAGATTTCTTGAGGGTATGAAGAGGAATGAGAAAAACTCTGTGTAAAAATTGTGTTTCTGAGGAGCGAGGAAACAAATGTGGGCTCAGGAAAGGGCTGTAACGAGGGAGAAAGCAATGTGTGCTGCTTAGGTAAGAATTTCTTCCACTTTGTCCTCTTCATAGAACTACCCTTCCTGAAGATGAAGGGCATCCCAGATTGCTTGCTGAGACCCTCCTACCCCAGAGACCTTCTTTCAGTTCTCATGGGCTGGACATAGGGAGGAGGAGAGAAAGCCCTCCTCGCCCCCAGCACTTCTGTGCTTTGTCATTCCTCTCCTGAGAAAACTCTCTCTGTGGACTGGAATGAGTTGCTGGCTCTAAGAGACTGCAAGAAATTAGGCCTTAAAATGGTGACTTCTCAACTGCAATTGTTTTAGTTTAGGATGTTGGCAATTCAAATTGAACTTTGGTTTATTCTTGCCTTCAGTCCAACACATAGGAGTTAGGGCATTGAGACAAACTATCAGCTTGTGGAGTCTCAGAGGGTGCACAGTGATAGGTAAAATCCATCCTCATACCCAGACAAGTAAGTGTCGGCTAGTGGGGAATGTTTATAAAGGTTTCAATGACATTGAGTTGGGAGACTTCATTTGCATTCAGGCACAGCTTTACCACTAGTACTTCCTAGCTGGTCCAAACACACTGAGCTAGAAAATACATGTCATTTAGTAGTCTCTGTTTCATCCAAGGTGAGGTAATGGCTGTATGTAAGGAAAGCTCAGGTTGGAGCTATTTGATATATACAGGCAGATGCTTCAGTGTTTTTTGGTGATAGGAAATTCAGAGGCAGCTAGTAAGGAGAAAGATTCAAACCCTTCACTTCTTTTAGCAAGGCTGATGCAGAAGAACATGCTGTACTGAGATATTGCTAACACAAACACCCTCTCTGAGGGCTTGTTCCCATTTACTTTGGGAAAGGGCAATGTTTCCTTTACAGAGGGGCAAGATTTACCTCTGTTGTGCTTTAAAAAACATGGGCTCCTTAGCAACAGTTTCAGTATCTTCTGTAAGCATCTTCCAGGGCTACTAGTCAGATGAGTCTGGAGTCAGACAAACAGGACTGGTATTTCATGTCTCGTCAGTTGTTCAAAACCTTCACCTCTATGTATAAATGCATTTAAAAACATGAAAAAAAACAGTTCTATATGTACTACATAGTACTGATACTGGGCTTACTAACAGGTGTGCCAGCTGACTTCATAACAGCATAGTGGAGCAGGACTGCGTGGAAACTCTTAACTGACCACTGAGGAAACTACTTTTTTAAAAAAAAAATAATAAAGAATGTGACAGAAAAAATAGGAAATCGCATGTTTTGCACTGAGGAAAATATGAAGTTGTTGGCTTCTAAGTTCTGATCCCAAGCCACAGTCAGAGGTCACCTTTTTTTTAGTAACACACTCCTGAATTACTTGAATTTACTTTACCCTTATAAAAGTGATACTTGCATTCTTTCTGCCCTAAAATAGTGCTTTGCAAAAAGTGCTGCTAATATTTACCATACAAAAAAGTATTTCTACAATGATAATAGTTTACTTTAATATAATGTTTGTGTTTTCTGTTTGATTATTAGCTGAGATCACATGTTTGCATTATGTATGTTGAGTTATGCCGCTTAAGATACATGTTTATACTTATGCTCTGGTCTTATGAAGGGTAAAGGAGGAGACATTTAACATAATTATCTCTTTCATCAACTGACTGTTTATATATTTGCCTTTTTCAAGAAACTGCGTATCTTCGCTTCAAAAAAAAAAAAAAGGGGAGGGGAAGAGAGAGATGAGCACAGGACATGTCCCACACTGATTCACTTGATAGTGCATATTGCAGAGAATCAGTGGCCAAATGGCTCTGGAGTGTGGAAGAGGAGGAAGTGAGCTAATTGTATTGGTCAGATTATTGTAATTATTTTGATTAGAGCAGAGGGGGCATGGTAACATCGGTTGATGTGAGGAAAGAGGAGTTCAATGTATGCCTAGAGTATCTGAGCTGCAATCTTTCCTCAAATCAGGGTAACTTCTACTGGGGAGAAAAGATGCCTTCAATGGGACAAGTTACATAATGACACTAAATCAGTTATATTAACAAAAGCAGTCGTCAGTTGACTTCTACCTGAAAAATTCTGTTTAACTAATACTTTTTCTATAAAAGTGATGTACAAGGATTCTGCTAATCAGCATTTCTAACCAGCTGCAGCAGAGACCATCTGAGCATACAGCACTTGCTGCAGCAGAGCTCTAGAGCTGTGGCTGTAGCTGTAAATGTAATATGGGAACACTGGCATTTGAAGGAAAAGCAAAAATACCATCACATGTGGTGTATCAAAGAGGTGTTGTTAACAACCACAGACATTTTTTATCTTGCTCAAACACTTTTAGCCTCACTTCCTGAGCAGATTGTTTAATGTGACTGTGCTGTCTGTCTTTAACCATCCACTCTAATATTAATTGAACCTGTTGGCTCGTTTTAGTCACTATTGAAAGACAGAGGTGTCAAGCACATTCAGTTTTTATGTGTTTTGTGAAAACAGGTGGTCAGGTGAAGGAGAGCTCTGCATTAGTTCTTTCCAACTAAAGCAGCAGCTTTTGAATACATTGTTTTACCCCAGGGACTCCACACAAGAGGGCATGGGAAGAGGCAAGGGATCCAGCTGTGAAAAAAGTACAGGCAGACCTCAGACCTTGTAAGACACAGAGTAATCCAATCGTACGGAAAAAAAACCCTGCTGGAAACTGAGCTGTGTCACTGCTGCTAGTCAAGAACTACTCATTCTCAATGTGACTGCTGCTCACAGTTATTATTCATGGTTTGACTGTGGTTTGCCTTGGCTGTGCTAATTGTGTGGCTGAATCCTACCTGCCAAGTCAGCATCCCCCCTGGCTGTCAGCAGGAGCTGGCTTGCACTCCTCCAGGCAGGCAGTGCCGGCCCATTCTGTTGTGGGGAAAATGGGAGCTCTCTGGAGCAAGCTCATAATACTTCTGTGGTCTGCTGTTTTCTGTCTAAGCTTCAGGGCATGACTTTCAGATGGCCATGGCTTTTAAATGCCCAGTGTCTCAAAGTAAGTCTCGTGCCTTTGTTTCTTAAGAATTGGTAAGTATCCTTTGACTGCTGTCTGAACTCTTTGTCAAGATGCCCAAGTTAGTTAGTGTGTGCTTTTTCAGCACTAGTTTAAGAATTCCTTTATTTTTTAGGGAATGAGAAATATTTCATTGGTAAAATAAATGAAATTTTAAAAGGGTCTCAGATGAAGGAATAATTACTTTTCTGACTCCATCCTGAGTGTGTACCTCTGGCATGATGTACAAACCCAGACTTTTCTCCTTCTCTCTTCTCTAGGCTGTCAGCGCTCCATAGGTTTGTCCAATGGAAAAGCCAAGGTGTGCAGCTACAGTGGATGGTATTACTGCAGCACCTGCCACGTGGATGACAGCTTCCTCATCCCTGCACGGCTGGTTCATAACTGGGACACTTCCAAGTACAAGGTAATCTCCCTGCAGGTTGGTTTGCTAGCAAGCGAACTGAATCGCTCTTTAGATAGAAACACAGACATTTCAGCAGCCTGGAGGTTACAGGCATTGACTGCTAATATTGTCTTCTTTGTCCCTCTTGTCAGAATGAACCACACTCTCTCAGCAAGATAGATGTTTTAATCACAGTTTCCTTAGCCAGGCCTAAGGTGTTCCTCCACAGGAGTAGCCATGCTCCTCTTTCTTGGTGGCATCTTTTTCATCATTGCATATCTGGTTGTTCAAGAGACAGGGGTAGCACACTGCAGCCTCTCTTTTAGTCCTAATCTTTGCAGTTATTGGGGCCCTTGAGGAGTACCTGTTTCATGAGCACCAGGGGCTGAGGATTGGCACCGTTTAGTGGTGGATGCTAAATTGTGGAAATGCCCACATGCAGTGTTTGTGGGGTGCAGTATGCCCTGTCTCCTGGCAGGAACATTTCGAGGACACTAGGAGGACATTGCTGTAGCACTCGGTTGGACCAGACAGACAAAAGTAACATAAGGAGAAAATTCTACAGTTGTTCACTTGTCACACAAGAGCTTTTCTAAAACTTTTGTAATATGCTATTTGCTGCTGCCTCGGTGGCTGATTGCTAGATAGGGGCAACTGATTACATACCTCAAAGCACTATGCCAGCAAACACAGTAGCAGTGTTGTTTTGCCATCTTAGGCAGCATATGCTGAAAGAATAACAAATTCATAAGGAATCCAGACCATGCTAGAGCTGCAGACCTAGCAGCCACTGTTAGGAGAGGTTGTTTGATGTTTTGTGTCTGCAAATATTATTATTATGTGCTATTTGAAAAGGAAAAAATAACCAGTAAATGCCCTATTAGAGGAAAAGCAGGTCTCTCTTGAAGAAAATTTGTCAGACAGGGAGATTATTAAAAGGTAGCCAGAGCCTGCCATCAGGAAAATGACAGTTTTGCGCTGTGAAATGCAAGATTCTTCAGTTGCAAAGCTGCTATGTGTGGAGGCAAAAAGCCCTCCCATGCCTAGAAGTTAGGAATAAATATTTAAAAGTTCTTTCTTTGGATGCTTTTACCAAGGACTAAACTTGCTAGCCCATGGTAGTATAGGGTAGCCCTGATAAGGGGCTAGTAGATGGTAAGGCGCAGACCTCATGTCAAACTGTCATTAATACTGCCAAGAAAATTAACTGGTTTTTTTTCTAAACCTGCAGGGTAAAAACTATGCTCTGTGCTCTGTTTCCTGTGGTCTTTATATAGGCAGCTGAAGCACAAAAGAAAATGGGACTTTCAAGATTAAGCATTCATTAAAAACTTAATCTACTGTCATCTCACTATAATACTTTTTGTAGACAGACAGAACAGATACGAGGTGGCTTGGGAAGACAAACAAATTCTGTGCAGATACTTTACCAGTCTTTGTGGCAAAATGCTACAGCATCCCCAACTATTAGAACAGAAATTAAGACAGGGTGGGAAAGTTAAGAGGATATAATCTGCCGTGGTGGCAGTGTGACAACTAAGTTGAGATTGCTGGTTGGATCTCCTCAACTCCATCCCATCCATGTAGAGCATTTAAATAACAAGTAGTTTCTCTTAGGGTTTTCCCCATTCTCTTCAGTTCTACATACATGTGCTTTTATTTCCATCCATACTATACCTCCCTGGGAATTAAGCGTTGCTTTTCTGAGATAGAGTATATATTTGCCTGCACTTTCACATCTGTATCTCCTCTCTCCATTCAGAGATAAGGTTTGGTGTTTATTTCAACTTAGTTCTGGCTGCTGTACTTAACAGTTGTAATGAAACTACGTAATTCCTTAGTAGTGTATTGATCAAATGTGCAATCCCAGGCACAAGTAGGAACTGGGCAGAGAATGGATCAAGACTAGAGAAGAACTTACTATCATGAGACCCCACCTGGAGGGAGTACTGTGTCCAGCTCCCAGTTGTTGTCTGGCTCCAGAGCTGGCTCCCAACACAAGAAAGGTGTGAACCTATTGGAGCAGGGCCAGGGAGGCCAAAAAGATAATCTGAGGGCTGGGGCACCTCTCCTGTGAAGACAGACTGAGAGAGTTGGGATTGTTCAGCCTGGAGAAAGGAAGGCTTTAGGGAGACCTTCTAGTACATAAAGAAGCCTACAAGAGAGTTGGGGAAGGACTTTTCACAAAGGGCCAGGGGTGACAGGACAAGGGGGATTGGCCTTAAGATGAAGGAAGGTAGATTTAGATTAGATATTAGGAAGAAACTCTTACTGTGAGGGTGATGAGGCACTGGCACAGGTTGCCCAGAGGGGATGTAGACTCTGTATCCCTGGAGATGTTCAAGACCAGGCTGGATGGGGCTCTGAGTAATTTATTGTGGTGGAAGGTGCCCTTGCCCACGGCAGTGGGGTTGGAACTAGATGATCCTTAAGGTCCCTTCCAACCCCCCCCCTTCTGTGATTCTATGATTTGGCAAAGATAGATATCTTGTCTCACTTCCTTGAGATGATCTTAATAGTAATAATTTTCTTTTGGCTTATTTTTAAAAGACACTTAATTTGTCAGCATTTCACCTCCCATAATTGGCCAGCGTGCAGCAACATCCCAAATGAAGATAAACAACAGAGCTTCTGCTATACACATAACCCTGCTCCTTGCAGGTAGCACAACAATGCCTGAAAGTAGAGTTTCTGCAGTGAGGGACTTGCCCTCGTGGCACATCCCAAAGAGGTCCTGCAGGAAATGAATACATACCAGATTTGATGGTCAGAACTGAAACAGGGCTTCAGTCTTCAAAAGCTTCTGTTTTACACACTCTGAAAGGTGCCAGTCAATCCACCAAATGGAAGCAAAGTTAAATGAAGAGTTTGTAAACCTGCACTCCTTCCCACTGCCAGCTTTTCCCTGCCTCCATAGGGGTTTCTGGGGTCTGTCCTATCTGTTTCTGGCAAAGCAAACACCAGTAGGTGCTGTAGGACATGAGCTTTTACAGTGTAATTGGGCATGTTTCTCTTTCAAATGTCATGGACTCGACATCTGAGCAGCAGCTGTAAACTGTTACATCAATTAAATAAGTTTTGAAATGGAGAGGTTCTTGTCTGCTTTTGGCAAGATACGTCATGAAAGAACAGAAGCAATAAAAATCTGTAGAGTTGTCTCTTCTCATAACCCAGGATCTTGAAAAACAAACAACAAATACACTTAACACCTGGAAACACGCGTATAGGAAAAGAAAAATCCTCTTGGCTGCAAGAGAAGCTCTTTGAAAGGACTTGGCAGTTAGGCATGTTTCTTCTGTCATAACCAAAGAAGCAGCTCAGTCCTCAGGTTCGCTTTTTTTTCCACTGTCTCCCTACTGTCTTCATATTTGTGTTTTTCGTGTGTTTGGTAGAAGGGAAGAGAAAAGAGGTGATCTTGTGAACATCCTTTCTTCCTTTTACTTAGGCCAACTGTTTTCCCTGTTTGCACACAAAACTCAGTAAGTATTGCAGTTTGGTTCAGGTGGTTTTCAGCCTGTGCAAAATGCCAGACAAACACAGCAGGAAATGAACTCCCTGTGCCAGAAGGCTTCAAGGGAGGCTGACTTCTGGTAATTGAATTCTGAACTGTAAGTTTGCAGGCTCTAGAAAGGAAAGGTCTGGAAAATGTTAGCATCCATCCTTGTATGACATTTAAAGCTAAAACCCTGTTGCCCTTTGCATCTTCTCAATCCTTCTGGCTGATTTAATAGGATTGTCTTGTCTGCCTAGTAAAACTGGGGGACTGTGAGTATGCTTAGGACATATGTTAGAATATTGGCTGGTATCAAGCTGAACTACTACAACTGCCTGACCCTTCCCATTTTAAGGCTGCATTTCGGCTTCTTATAACTTTGCTATGGTTGGCAATTGGAGTTAATGTTTTGCAAGACGTGTGTGCCTATGTCAGGTGTGCAGAGTGAACTGACACCGATCTGTCAGCCAGTGATGCTGGGCAAAGCTACTTTTCCTGCAATCAGAATTCCAGGGGTACATTGTATTGCCAAGGAGAGAGAAAGCCTTGCTTTGCTTCTCTCTCCTCAAAGGCTGAATTCAGACCATGCAGCACCAGAGCTGCACAGTAATGCTTTGTCATCATAGTGCACATGTATGGCAGAGTCACTCGGGGGACCTCAATTGTGGCATCTTTTTGTTTCTGTACTCTTAACGCCTCAGGGGGGACGCCCCACACAGGGTGTGCACAGGTGTGGGTGTAGTACTTGGACAGTACCTGCTCTTCAGTTCCCAAGATAGCAGGGCAGGTGGATGAGGAGTCCATCACTTCAGCAGAGGTTTAAAGCGAGAAGATAGGCAAAGACATCACTGAGCACGAGGTCCTCCTGGTCTGAGGTGCTAGTCATTGTACCAAGTGTTCACATGCCTCCTAGGGAATCACTGAATACATACCTTAATTTGCTAGTTGGTGGAAGAGGACTAATATTCGCTATAGATACAGCAGTTGTCAGGGGATTGCTGAGATATTGCAGTCAAATGATTTAATAATTGTAAAAGCAGGTTGTTTAATGCAGTCTCTTTTATGCACTTCAGTAAACATAATAAAGTATCAACATTGCTAGTGTTAGAAAACTTGATATATTTGGAGTTTGTAGAGTTTTTTTCTACAAAGTCCAAGTTGCTTGTGTTGCTCCATGTTACCTCTGATTCCACTCAGCACAGTTCCTTGTACGTGCATGATACTTGAAAAATAAAAAAAGAAAAAAAGAAGAAATTAGTGAGATGTTTAATATAAATAGGTGAGATATTTAATACAGCTTCAGGGCCTGGGAAACCTGTGGAGTTATGGTCTGCTGTATTTAAATTAACACATTGTGTTATCTCTGTAGTTATTGGTGGGAAGGCAGGCCTTGGCATTATTTCTTACATATTTATTATGCATTGTGAAAAGGTTACATTTGGGGCTGGCTTTCCCTGTCAGTAGCTAGTAACTAGTGCTGGGTTTTGGAAGTGGTGCTGTTTATAAGAGTGTGTATTGCTTTTTTACTTACTTCTTACTTTACTGCTCCAGAAGGGAAATAACTTCCTAAATCTCAAGAGGCTGTGGTTTAGTAGTGCTGTGCCCTTTCTACTTTTGTTAGCTTAATTCATCCCTTCCTCGACTCAATGTAAACACTGATTTAAAGGCCCAGGAGGACTAATTGAATTGTGGAACCAATAGTATTTCTGTAGCACAGTTTCAAGTGATTTGCAGCTCATTTAAGGTAATCCCTGTGACAAAATGCAGAAATAAGGAACCAGAGGGAATTTGGTCTTCTCACTTCAGAAACAGGAGTATTTTTTTCTAGTGGAACAGAAATCCCATGAATTTATCAAGATTACAGTAGCTCTTTGCAGGTGGAGATAGAACAGGGCACTATAATGAAAAAGGCATAAGAAAAACTTCTTGCAGATGAAACATTGGGAATGAGTAATACCAACAAAATTCAGTTTTATTTATCTGCATTTTAAAAAACACAACAACTTGCTTCTTGCCAAAAAGAAATCAGCAAACAAACAGAAAAATACTGGCAGGGAAGAAACTTGGTAATCGGATTTTAGACTTGAAAAACATCTAGTAAGCTGTTACTCTGCAGTAGAAGCGTGTGTGGCTGCAGATATCACTCTACGTTGGGTAAGTAAGCACTTATCTCATACACTCAATTTTGAGGCATTTGATCAAGTTTGACTTGACTATAAGCAGAGAGAGTTGGATCTCTCTCAGCTCTGTCTTCATTTGTAACTGATAACATAGTAAATTTTCAGGTGCATAGAATAACTCAGATCACAGAGGGGAAGATCTGCTTAAAAAGAACTGGGAGGAAAGCCTAACTAAACTACTTTATTTTTCAGGTATCAAAGCAAGCCAAAGAGTTCCTGGAATATGTTTATGAGGAGCCATTGATTGATATCCAGCAGGAAAATCCCATGCTGTACAAGCATGTTGAACCTCTGGCAACTGTTGTCCGGCTGAGACAGCAGCTAAAATCTCTCCGAGCCTACTTGTTCAGCTGCAGAGCTGCAGTGGCTGAAGATCTGCGTAGAAGGTAAGAACCATAGACAGGATACAGCACAAGGATGTAATTTCCTTGTCATGTTGCTTCCCCCCCACACTTTTTGCTTTTTTCACAGTCTAGTTCTGAAGGTGTTAGTCATTTAGAAAGGTGGTGTGTTTGTATCTGACTTCCCTGAGCAGCTGGGTTATCCTATGGCAAAGAAAATGATTTTATAGGGTCTGAATATCCAAAGTTGTTCTTGACAGCTATCAGTCCAGGGGGTCACACACTGTGGTGAATATCTTTTACTCCTCCTCGGGCTTCCTGGCTGTGTGTGATTATTTTCAGTCAGGTGAGATAGCTCATGCTCCTTGCTGTGGCATCACAGTGTAGTAGCCACTGCTGGGACCCTTGAAACACCTCACACTGTGGCAAAGCATGAGAGGGGCCAGAGTCAACCACCTGTCCAGTGCTTCTGACTTCTTCTGTGAGATGACCTCACCCAGAGGCAGAGGCCAGATGTAGTCCCCCAGCACATGACCCAGCATGTGATTTATGTGACACCAGAGCAGTTGGGCTCTTTCTCAGTCAGTATCCATGACATGGCTGTGCTGAATGTTTTGTTTATTGGAAAACACGCGGTCATAGCACAGCAAAAAGTGTTTCATATTGCATTTACTGTGATGGAAATGGTAGTTCTATAATAAGTGAACTTCATTTTAGAAGTGCTGTATCTTAGTCCATTCAGCTACTTCTATATTTTTCTAACAAGCTAAAAATTATCAATCTTTTTAAAACCATCAAGCCACAGTTGTGACCTTAAAAAACCAAATAACTTTTGTTGTGGATCTCCAAAAGAGATGGGGAGATGTGTCTGTCATGCTGTACTGTGAGGTGAGTAGCTCTGGGTACATGCAGCTGACCTGATGCATCTGTAAGCATTTGTATACCCCAGTTTTTAAGACAAGACTTGCAAGTAGGAAAGCCACTGCTCTGAAACTGTGAGCTGCTGAAGGGCAAGAAAGCAGGTGACATCAGGTGACTGTATTTTGAGCATGGTGTTTTAGGGACCTGAATTCTCTGGAAGGGGGAGGAGGCTGCACTAGTGCCTTTATCCCAGGTAAGGAGAACTGGTCTGCCATTTGGTACATAACCCATGTCATTGCTTTGGTGAACTACCTAGAACAACTAAGAGAAGGATACAGCAACAGGTTTCTGGAGAGTTCTTGTGTCAGACCCACTTAATATGTGCTTGTGTTTTACTACTCAATTTCTATTATTTGTTAGGGCAGCTTACAGCATTTTAAAATTTAGGATGGTTCTTTTATTCTAGAGGATGGAATTATCTTGCAAAGCTGTTTTCCTGTTCAGCTATAATAACTTTTCTATGCCATCCCCTTCAACAGTGATAAACCTAAAAGGAAAATAAGATTTGTGAAGGCTACTGTTCAGAAGAAGTGGCAAAAAGGAAGTGATGCTTTCTGATTAATGTTGAAGAAAATAATTCTCTGGTTAAAATAGAGAAGGAGGCAGGAAACTGAATGGACTTGGTTAAGAGAGTAAAAGAAGAGAGTTCAAATGAGACCTAAGCAGAGAAATCAATAAACTAGAGAAAAAAAAAAGGGGGGGATAAGAGAAACCCAGGAGAAGGAGATTCAAAGAGGGAAGGGATCTCAGAAAATTAAGAATTAATGAAGAAACCAGGGTAAAGGGGGAACCCCAAAACCTACCTCCAAAAAGGAGAGATGACAAATACTGAGGAAATGGACAGAAGAGAGAATGGACAAAAATTATCACAGAAATGTGAGCATGGTCTTTTCTTGGAGCAGGGAAGAGAGAGAAAATGTCCCTGTATCAAAATGAAACACCCAGAATGGCAGATGGGGAAACTGGGAAAAAATACTTCAAATGTTTCTTATCTAAGGTTTCCTTTGCACTGTCTCCAGTTAAAGCTCTCTGTGGTGGAGGGAAGGACCCCCAGCCCAGGAGGGGTTTGGTTTTGTACTAGGGAAGCATCTCCAGGACTTGTTAAAAGTGTAAAAGGCACTGAAGGAATGTATAAAACAGACCTTAGAGTCCAGTCCCTTCTTGGTCTGTGAAGTGGATTTGGTGGTCAACTGCTCCCTCAGATCTCTCTTAAGAGGTTTGAAGATATGAAAAGAAAGAAAACTTCTTTACCCAGAAGGAGTTATTCCTTGCTCAAAGTGCTCCCAATGGTTTTGCATTCTTCATCTAGTATCCCAGTGTGCAGACATTCACTATCAATGTGATGATTTTATAGAGCAGAGCTGAAAAGTAAACAAAGAAAATATGTGATTTAAGTTTTCCTTTGGTTCATCACATGGACAAGTTGCAAGACAAGGAGGAGTTTAAACAGTATGGTGAGAGAGCATTCCTAAACTTAGTACTCTTTCCTAATTAGAAATTAAAAACTGGGAGAGAGAATCCAGTTATCTGTCCTGCTCTAAAAACATTCTTTTTCTCCTTGGTCTTCACCTTAGTATGTGAATAACTATTAATCACAAGAAAGTGAACACAGCATCTTGAAGACCTGTCAGACCCATATAAACAGATTGAAACAAACTGTTAATATTGCTGTCTACAGGGAACTAAAAACAGACTGATTAATTGTATTGGCACCTTGCTGCCTCTGGGACACTGATAGAGCCTGCCTTATTAGGGAAAAGCAGATCACTCTGAGGTTTCTTTTATTAATACTATTTGCATTATCATCTACTTTAAATCTACACCCTGCTCTTCAGCCCAGATCACAAAATGAAGACGGCAATGAAGTTGGAAACTCTTGGTGTCCTCTGTGAAGACAAAACTGTTTACAGTGCTTACAGTCACTTTTTCTGAAGACTTCCAGATGGCTATAAACCAGGTTAGCTCAGGATCCAGTTGGTTTAAATGTGGACACATTATTTATATTGTTTGGGGTACATAGGTACTTTAAGAACTTTGAAACTTGGCATCTAGCAGAGAACTCAGGGCTAATACCACATTGTGAACCTTCAAGAAGCAAGTAGAAAAGAAGGAAGGAAGAAAGGAAAAGACACAGAAGAAATCCTAAAAGTAGCTAGAAGGCTCGCAATAAAAATGGTCTCATCAGTTATAGTGATTTATTCTCACCTATTGCTCCACTATATTCTAAACTCTTTTTATATTTGCAAGGTGAAAAAATAAGGAACCTGGACTTGGCTGGGAGGTGAAATAAGGCCCTTCACCAGCGTGTATCTGCAGTGTTCCTCTAATATTAGCCAGATGAGACTGGCCCTGTTGCTGAGCTCCCTGTTTTACAAGGGATGTTGTTATGCCTACTTTGCTGTAACTGTCACCTCTGTATTGCAACACACATTATTTGCCTCAAACATCTTCACTCAACAAGTTCTCGCTTGTTTTGGTAGCTTTGCTTGTGTGGATGCTGTTCAGGCGAAAACATACAAGACTGAAACCTAGAGCCAACACAGAATTAGTACAAGTGGAACTGTACAGATCCCACCACCACCCGCAGATTGTGAGATGGCAAATGAATGGCACAAACATGACGGATTGAATAAAATTGGTGGCCGGGAAACAGTGAGAATCTCCAAGTCCATTAAATAATGAGGGTATTCTGTGAAATTGTGCTGAATGATGCAAGTTCTCTTCTGGGTTTGCTTTGCTCCTGTTGTGATTGAAAGTCCTTCAGGTCAAGGAACTGTCACAATGATTTTTTTGGATGTCTCCAGGTACCTCCATGTCTCCTGTAGGGTAACCCAGGTCAACTTTGGCTCTGGGGAGCCCTCTGGGCTCTCTGCTCTCTCAGCTATCTCTCAGCTATCTAAACTTGCAGTTCAGGTGCTGCTAGCCCAGATACTTTAGGCCAATGACAGTGACACAAGGTAAGTGTTCTGTAGCACATTGCTCTATGCATTAGTGCTTGTTGCAGTGCCCTAGTTCTGTAAGTGAATCTGAATGGTGATGAGAAACTAAATGGAAAAACATTTCCCACTTGTTACTCATCTCTGCCTGATACCATTTGTCTGTCAGCTCCAGAACAGCAATACATCAGTTTTACCTTAGCAAAACTTCAGTGCTGGATATATTACTTAGCATCTTACAGGAAGACCAAATTAGAGCTTGCTGTTGCTGCAGGAGGTTAAAGGTACACCTCCAGTGCTGCAGACCTGTGGTCTTGGCTGAGCCTGCTGGTCTGTCAGCACGAAGTGAAACAAGCCCAAATTCAGTAATGCTGAACAATAGAGTCCTGTCACTTCCTACAGTGAGGCCTTAGACATATTGCTTCTGACACAGGAGTAGATTACTTTCAAAATATTTGTGTGGCAATTGGGGAACCTGTCTAAACACATTGCAGGAATCCTGACTGATCTTATGCAATCACTATACCACCAAATACCTCACGTGTGTGAAGCTGGGGCTATGTCATCTTTCAGACCAAGGACAATAGAAGGTCACTAAGTCATGTCCAGACTGTCAAAGGAGACTGTTTTCTCCATTTTCTTTGCAATGGTTAGGCCATTTGGAGAGTGGAAAATTCCAAAGCAGGAGAACAAAGACACAATTTGTGAAAGCAGTAAACTGCAAAAAGAAAGTTTGAGCAGGAAAGGAACAGAAGGATATGGTTTCATAGCACTTGGGGCTCTGAGATAAATTTTCTTCTTCTATTGGTCTTGCCATTATTGCATGGGTGATTGGAAAGAGGGCAAGAGGGAAACTCAATTCAAAGAGGATATCTGGTTGTCCCTAGAGGAGCCAGTGTTAAGACAAAACAACATCCTAAAGTCTATTCACTTGAAAGTTGGACTCGATGATACTTGTGGGTCCCTTCCAACTTAGAGTATTCTGTGAAAGTGAGGAAAGGTGAGAAAATAAATGCAGAGAAGTATGCACAAACCATTTGTTTTGTATAGATCCTGCATGGGTGTAGTTGTTGCAGTGGCTGAAATAAAGCATGCCAGTTGATGGAGTTCCTACAAACAGACCACCTCCATCTCTTTGTTTCAACTCTTCTCCGTTTTGGATGAAGTAACTATGTATCCAGAGGTCTT